AGAAATTGCTGGTTGATTGCTAAGTATAATGTACATGTTAATCTAAGATGAAAGGACCCAGAATGTTCCTTAGAAGTGAGGATGGCGAGACTTCATCTCATTTACTTTGGACATGTTATCAGGAGGGACCAATCTCTGGAGAAGGACATCATGCCTGGTAAAGTAGAGGGTCAGCAAAAAAGAGGAAGACCCTCAATGAGATGGACTGACACAGTGGCTGCAACAATGGGCTCAAACATAGCAACGATTGTGAGGATGGCGCAGGACCGGGCAGGGTTTCGTTCTGTTGAACACAGGGTTGCTATGAGTCGGAACCAACTCGATGGCACCTCACAACAACAACACTGTCCCTTTCCACCCCCATCTGTCAGTTTGCTATACTGTGGTAGCTCGCGTGTTGCTGTGATGCTGGAAGCTATGCCAGCGGAGCTTCCAGACTAAGACAGACTAGGAAGAAAGGCCTGGTGATCTACTTCCAAAAATGAACCAATGAAAATACTATGGATCACAACAGAACATTGTCTGATAGAGTGCTGGAAGATGAGCACCCTAGGTTGAAAGACTCTCCAGATACACAGTGGCTGTAACAATGAACTCGAACATAAGAACAATCGTGAAGATGGTGCAGGACTGGAGAATGAAAACCCTGTGGATCACAACAGAACACTGTTCAACATAGAGCTGGAAGATGAGCCCCCTGGGGTGGAAGGCGCTCAGAATACACAGTGGCCCCAACAATGGACTCGAGCAGACCAACGATCGAGCAGATGGCGCAGGGCTGGGCAGCGTTTGGGTCTGTTGTTCTCGTCAGCAACTCAACAGCAGCTAACAACAAAAATAACTGCCTCTTTCGCTGGCCCAGCGTCTCACTACTCGTCTCAGGACATATTATATAATCAGCTGCACGGATTTCAAAGTCAATGTTCTTTTCGGAGTCTATGATCTCACTGGGTCTCTTCGTGATTTCTCGACGCCGTAGAAGGAAAGTGATTTCCCTTCCCTGTCCTGCAGGACCAGATGCTTGCTGCAGTCTCTGTAGCTTCTAATGATGATTTTAAATAGTCGGCTTTGTGGAAGGATGGTGTCATGGATTGAATTGTGTCCCCGCAAAATATCTGTCAACTTGGCTAGGTCATGATTCCCAGTATTGTATGATTGTTTACCATTTTGCAATCTGACGTGATTTCCTTACGTGTTGTAAACTCTATCACTATGATGTAATAAGATGGATTAGCGGCAGCTACACCTATAAGGTCTACAAGATTACATAGTGTCTTAAGCCAGTCTCTTTTGAGATATAAAAGAAAGAAGCGAGCAGAGACACATGGGAACCTCACACCACCAAGAAAGCAGTGCTGGGGGCAGAGCGTGTCCTTTGGACCTGAGGTTCCTGCGCAGAGAAGCTCCCAGACCAAGGGAAGACTGATGAGAAGGCAGGCAGAAAGTTGGCATCGACTTGACGGTACCCAACAACAACAACAATCCGAAATACTGAAGGAGCCAATGAATGATAAAAACGGAACCTATCACCATCCAGTCAATTCCAACTCATAGCAACCATATAGGACAGAGTAGAACTGCCCCATAGGGTTTCTAAGGCTGTAATCCTTATAGAAGCAGATTGTCACATCTTTCTCCCATGGAGCAACTTGTGGGTTTGAACCGCCGACCTTTCAGTTAGCAGATGAGCACTTAACCATTGTGTTACCAGGGCTCCTTCCACAGAGGGCAAAATCCTAAACCCACTACCTTCAAGTCGATTCTGAGTCATAGTGACCCTATAGGACAGAGTAGAACTGCTCCATAGGGTTTCCAAGGCTGTAATCTTTACAGGGTGGAGCCCTGGTGATGCAGTGGTTAAGCATTCAGCTGCTAAACAAAGGTTGGCAGTTCGAATGCACGAGCCGCTCCTTGGAAACCCTACGGGGCAGTTCTACTCTGTCCTATGAGTCGGAATCGACTCGACGGCGAAGAGTTGGGTTTGGTTTTTAATCTTTATGGAAGCAGACTGCCACATCTTCCTCGGAGCGGCTCGTGGGTTTGAACTGCCTACCTTTCCGTTAGCAGCCAAGGGCTTAACCACTGCGCCACCAGGGCTCCTTTCAAATGAATGACAGGAAGAGGGTTTTTTTTTCCTTTTCTTGGTCTTTTTTCTTTTTCCTTGTGCAGCGCGGTTCGTAGTAAGACGCGTGGCATGTTAGGGTACTTTCCGTGTAAAGCGGCAGTGACAGAAGAATGAGTAGTAGCCTGGACTCACCCACCATCCAGTCCATTTCCTCCACGCTGTTCCCGTATGAGCCGTGCCGACTTTTCCCAAGGAACTCTTTTGTGGTAACGAAGGGGATGTGAACGTGCAGCAAAGACACGAACAGGAGAAACGGCCCCGGCTTGTTTCTGAAACAAGAAGACCAGGTGCCTCCTTCACCACATACAAAGGTATCTAGTTCATTGCTGTCTGTACACTGTTACTGTTGCTGCTGTGAGCTGCAGTCAGCTCCTACTCACGGCCGCACCACGCACACCAGAATGAAACACTGCCCGGTCCTGTGCCACCTGCACGATCCTTGGTCTGCTGGAGTCCATCAGTGGAGCCACTGTGTGTTTTGAGTGCCTTCCAACCTAGGGGGCTCAGCTTCCAGCTCTATATCAGACAACGTTCTGTTGTGATTCACAGGGTTTTCACTGGCTGATTTTCAGAAGTCGACTGCCAGGCCTTTCTTCCTAGTCTATCTTAGTCTGGAAGCTCCACTGAAACCTGTCCGCCGTGAGTGACTTGCTGGTATTTGAAATACCAGAGACACAGCTTCCAGCATCACAGCAACATGCAGGCTACCACAGTGCAATGTTACAGACTTCAAATTAGAGATGCTGGTTTTGGACACTAATCCACAAAAAAAGGATGAATTCTCCAAACTCATCTCCTCTAGGGCCAGTTTATATGAAACTCCAGGGACTTAAAAGTCAGGTGGTGGTGGTCCAGTGGTAGAACCCTCGCCTTCCATGCGGGAGACCCGAGTTCGGTTCCCAGCCAATGCACCTCACGCGTAACCACTATCCGTCCGCGGAGGCTTGTGTGTTGCTGTGATGCTGAACAGGTTTCAGTGGAGCTTCCACACTAAGATGGACTTGGGAGAAAGGCCTGGTGATCTCCTTCCGAAAATCAGCCACTGGAAACCCTACGTTCACAGCAGTCCGATTCACAGCTGATCACGGGACGGCCGAGGACCGGGCAGCGTTTTGCTCTGTTGTGCGTGGGGTCACCAAGAATCGGGGCAGACACCACCGCAGCCAACAACGCCAACAACAACAAAAGATTAGAAATAAAAACTCAGATGCCCCGAGAACTCAGCCCCTTTTCAGGATGTGATCATTTTCGTACCTTTCTATGTAAGCAACAGCCTCCTTTAGCAGCCGCCTGGTAGCGCTTTCCAAAGCCATGGGCTGCTCTGTGACATCGTGGTTCCTCATCATGATACAGTTCCAACGACGCACGAACCCGAAGCTGGCATACCAGGAGAGGAAACACAGGGCGGGGAGGCTGGCCAAGCCCAGGACGGCTTTCCAGGGGACGGAGATGGAGCCAGAGGCTTTGACAGCAGCGAGGCTCAGCACCCCCAGAGCCATCGCCTGCGTATATAGCCAGAGTCCCGCCCGCACGGCCGCGTCCACTTCCGGGGGCCTGTCCGGGTGGCAGTCATTGACCAGCGTGAACGGCATTCCGTAGAAATAGTCGAACCCGTGACGGAGCGGGTGGTGGCAGTGGTCTGTGCGTGACACACAGTTTACGCCCTGGTGCCATTTTCCTGAAAACAACCACAAAATGTTAAACAAAAACACGCAGTGACAGCACTCCACCCGATACTAACCACCGTCCCTGAACCATTTGGGTGTTGAAAGGGAAAGGAGGATCCACACACAGAAACGTCTGAAATAAAAAAGGCAGTGAATGTTATCTGCTGTGGGTGATCAAATGGATATATATGCCCCGTAACACAGTAACAGAAATATGGAGTCCCTGGGTGGTACAAACAGTGCTTGGCAGTTAACAGAAAGGTTGGCAGTTCAAGTCCACCCAGAGGTGCCTCAGAAGAAAGGCCTGGCGATCTACGTCTGAAAAATCAGCCATTGAGAACCCTATGGAGCACAGTTCTACTCTGACACATATGGGGTGCCATGAGTCGCAGCTGACTTGATGGCAACTTGTTGGATTTTTTTTTTTTTTTGGTTTGATACTTATCATCTTTTCAGAATAATTTGGATGGTCAAAGGAAAAGGAATCCAGAAAAAGCTATATTTGACATAGAAAAGGCAATGAATGTAATAGATATGGGTGTTTAACTGGATATATGTCAGTCCTAAATATTAATATTTATAGCACCCATGTGTCTGTCCGTTTGTCGTCCTGTGGGGGCTTGCGTGTTGCTGTGATGCTGGAAGCTATGCCACTGGTATTCAAATACCAGCAGGGTCGCCCATGGCGGGCAGGTTTCAGCAGAGCTTCCAGACTAAGACGGACTAGGAAGAAGGACCTGGCGGACTACTTCTGAAAAGAATTACCGGGTGAAAACATTATGAAAAGTAGAGGGTCAGCGAAAAAGAGCAAGACCCTCAAGGAGATGGATTGACACAGTGGCTGCAACAATGGGCTCAAACATAGCAGCGACTGTGAGCATGGGGCAGGATTGGGCAGTGTCTCCTTCTGTTGTACACGGAGTCGCTATGAGTTGGAACTGACTCGACGGCACCTAACAACGACAAATATTAATAAACGTATAACTGTAATGATCATTGCCAAGCAATCAAAGCCGTAAGAGTAAGGTGTAAATTGTGTTGCCACAACTTGTTGCTAGGGAATTAAGTGCCTCTTGAGTCCCTGGGTGGTGTAAATGGTTAAGCACTAGGCTGCTAGCTAAAAAGCTGGAGGTTCGAGTTCAGACAGAGGTGCCTCGGGAGAAAGGCCTGGCGATCTACTTCTGAAAAATTAGCCACTGAAAACCCTATGCGCACAGTTCTACTCTGACACACATGGGGGCGCCATGAGTTGGAGCTGACTTGATGACTTTTTTTTTTAATCTATAAAGACAAAAATATATAAATATATGCATGTGTATCCATATGTATGTATATCTACACACATGTAGGTATTAATATCTACCTACCTACCCACCGGAATCCCTGGTGGCACAGTGGTTAAGAGCTCGGCTGCTCACCAAAAGGTCGGCAGTTGGAACCCACCAGGTGCTCCTGGGAAAATCTATGGAGCAGTTCTACTCTACCCTAGAGGGTCTCTGTGAGTTGGAATCGACTCGACAGCAACGGGTTTGGTTTTAGTTTTTTTTTTTTTTGGACCTACCCACGTATCTATCTGGAGTCCCCGAGTGGTACAAAATTTAATGCCCTCAGCTGCTAACCAAAAGGCTGGAGGTTTGAGTTCACCCAAAGGCACCCTGGAAGAAAGGCCTGGTGATCTACTTCTGAAAAATCAGCTACAGAAAAATGTATGGAGTGCAGTTCTACTCTGACACACATGGGGGCGCCGTGAGATGGAATGGACTCACTGGCCAATGGTTTGGTTTGTGCGTGCGTGTGTGTGTGGGTGTGGATCCACAGGGAGACAATTCTGGAAACTTCAGCCCGGTGTCCCCCACACTCTGCCCCACGTGCCTTTTCCCTTTGCAAATTGTGGCCTGTGTCCTTCCAGTATCATAAATCGCAGCCGTGAGTTCAGTTCTGGGCTGCATCCTGTGAGTTCCCCAGCGAATCGCTGAACCTGGGGGTGGTCTTGGGGACCCCCCAGTGCCGACCCTCTCTGAGCCCGCATGTCAAGACAGGTGTGATTGTTAACTCTGGGGGTATTGGCTGGGTGGGTGGCCGTTTGGCAAGATAACCTCTGCAGAGATTTCGGTTAAATCGGGGAAGGGGTGACTGACATGGCAAGGGAAAGATGGATGCCCACCTCCCGAGATTCTGAACTAAAACTAACTCTTCAGCGACAGACATAATAATTGTGAGCAACCCAAGAGGGCCAGAGACCAACTCTGGGTTCAGATAAAGACCCAGTGACTTTTTCCTTTGGAGAACAGGTTCTTTTTGTTCTCTGGTGTTCCGCCGGCCAACCAGACACGAGCGCCGTCCATCACGCACCTATGAGGCCCGTTGTGTAGCCCTGCTGCTGCAGGACTCTGGCGAAAGTGGTTTCGTTCACAGGGAGCCCGCCCGAGCCCCCGTTCCACTGAAGCGCGCGGTACCCGTCGCTGGCTTCCATGCCTGGGGGGCAGAGAGGAGAAAAAAAGTCACTCTTCTCTTCTCTAGAGGACGGGTTCTCACTGGGGGACACGTCCATGACTGCAGATGGTTAGGTTTTCAGGATGAAGGTGGCGGGGTGCTGGCGTCTCGTGGGTGGAGACCAGGGATGCTGCTACACAGCAGGACGGCCCCCACCACAGAGGACGATCCGAACCCAATGTCAGTACTGCCAAGGCTGAGAAACCCTGGGCCTTAGCAGGAGAAACCCTATCTATACGTCTGTCTATCTATCATCTATCTATCCATCCATCCAGCATCCATCCATCATATCTATCCATCTAACATCTATCTATCTGGCTATCCATCTATTCATCCATCCATCATTATCTACCTATCAGTTGTCTATCTACCATCTATCAATCAATCTCTACATCTATCAATCATCTATCTATCATCTATTATCTATGTATCTATCCATCTGTCCACTCATCCATCCATCCATATACCTATCTATCTACATATCTATCCATCCACCCATCATATCTATTCATCTGTCATCTATCTGTCCATTCATCCTTCCATCCATCTACCCATCCACCATATCCATCCATCCATCTATTATCTATCTAAGGAGCCCTGTTGACATAACAGTTAAACACTTGGCTGCTAATCGAAAGGTTGGCAGTTTGAACCCACCTAGCAGCTCCGTGAAAGAAAGACTTGGCGCTCTGCTTCCGTAAAGATTATAGACAAGAAAACCCTATAGGGCAGTTCTACTGTGTCATATGGGTCACTATGAGTTGGAAATCAACTTGATGGCACCTAACTACATTATCTATCACCCTC